ATATAACTCTCTATATATACACATACAACAATTATAAAAAAAAAAAAAAAAATGAAAAAAATAAAAAATAAAAATAAAGAAAGAAAAAATAGATGCCGTTATTAATTTCTGTTTTATCCTTCCTTTTTCTTACTTCCCAATCAATCCTCCAACGTACCACAAATTCGTTGAACTTTTATCGAATAAACATTTCTATTCTCCGACTCGCGTAATCGAAGATAGAGTTTTATGTAATGTTAATACACGGATGTATTCGTGTGTTAACTGACGTCGAGCGACCCTAAGAAAGAGCAAACGATATATATACCACCTGCGGGCCACGCAGCATCCGGGGAATGAATCTAAATAAAGGAGCTCCTCCGCGCGATCAAAGATTCGAAAAACTCTCAAATTACGAAAGCCGTGCTCCGATCCTCCTACCGTGTATTCTAGCTACTATTAATGTTCATTCTGCGATCTCATTCTTTCCACCATCGTACCTGGCACTAGGTGCAAAAAAAAAATGGTTTTTGTCGAGCCGCAAGAGCACCGCTCGGTGAGAATCCTTAGGTCTTTCCGAGACATTCCACCGGACTTCTTTCCCCATCTCTTTTCCACCTCGTCTTTCAACCTTCTCTCCTTTCGCTTCTTCCTCTTTCTTTCTCTCTCCCTACCTCGTCCTCTCTCTCTCTCTCTCTCTCTCTCTCTCTCTCTCTCTCACTCTTGTTCTCTCTGCCTTATTTTCTCGCCGTTTCTGACAAGTACGTACAAAGTATAGCTTATGACTTGTTGCTAGGAGCACAGACCAGACACGAACTCATGTCTGTCAGAGGTATTTGCAATGTCTTCGCGTTTCAGCTCTTTCCATTCAAGCACAAATTACATTAATTCTCCCGACGAGAAACGTTTGTCCTTTTATCCCTCGATAATTTTCTCGCGAGAACGAGAGTCAAAGAAACGATATCGTATAACATGACAATAAATCAGACGTACATAATTACGATTTATTACCCGCGTGTGTAGCTTCATTCTGGTAGACCGAAACGATTCTTCCCAATATAATTAATACGTCTGTATAATCTGTTAAGCGATTTATGTAATACGTTTCGTTAAAGAATCTGTGGTTCTTACTACGGATTAATTATCTCGAAATGAAAACTCAACGATCTGAAGATAGAAATGCTCATAATAATCTCTCTGTTTCCCTATAGTTTTAGATGATCTATAGTCGAGAAATGATCTAGATAATGGAAAAGAAAGATATTATTTCGTGCAAGGACACGTTTGTTACACTTTTCCATGGTCCAGTCAGCACACAAAGAACTCTACACCCTCAGGGAGTGGTGTACAATGAAACGTAAAGAAGAAACATCGAGGCCAGTTGCGCAGTTGCAAATTACGGACATCCTTGAAAGCTTCCAAAGAGATTATGCACGCGAGAGTTCAGCGTTGCTCGCGCTGTAGGTGGTGCACCAATTTGTTCTACCTTCACAATGAAACCGAGATCCGCTATCGATTATCTGAATTTCACGGTACGCACCGAAGTATTTGTGTATGCCAAATTATAACGAAAGTATCAGATTACGTCCGCCTAACCGCCAACATCTTCTAAAAAAATCGAAATATTCCCCTTCTAAAAATTCTAAATAGACACACGAGTTGGCAATTACACACAATGTCGAATAGCATTAATCTGAGAGTATTCTACACTCTACATTATCCGTACCAAACGAATATTCATAAAGATCTTAAAGCGAGGAGATAATGTTTGGAAGAGAAATTTCTAAGAAATTATTAAGCTCCTTTTTTTAATCTTTTTAATCGTGATAAGATCAAAGGCAATTTAAATGGAACGTTAACGTATCCAAGTTTAATCTATGTACCTCTCATTAATCATACACCGTCTTCTATTCATTCTCGAATGCTTGATGCTGCAGTGATTCCTTTTTCTATTATAATTTGTAATCGCGATTACGCGGATTTATAAGATTCAGAATTGGAATCACAATTGGCTATTAAATTATTCTGTATTTTCCGTGTAAACAGACTTTGTGCATAATTATTTGTGAAGCGAGTTTTCAATGAATTCTATCATTTATCGTTAATTTGCAGAAAAAGAAAAAAAACGTTCCATTCTCACAAAGACTTTGTGTATGAATCTTGCGAAATTCGATATCGATAGAATTATCTAATATTTCGTAAAAAGATTAAGAAAAGAACAAATGGTCATCCGAAAACATTTGGTCCACAAAAAGTACTCAGCTGGTACTACAAAATCGTATCGACAAAGGATCGAAGAAAGGAAAAAAAAAAAGCACTATGAATTTTTCAAGGTAGTTCACCTCGCGAGCCTTGAACGTGCACATTTACGGAGATGCATTCGTATAGCATTACGCATTCACTGGACGTTCCTTCCGGGAAAAGGTAGAAAAAAAATTTTAGAAGCGGTTTTATTCGTCGCTGACCCGTCCTCGTGGCCCGCTTCACGAGTCCATAGCAGCTACGTGCAGCTACTTTGAATTTTCATATTACCAGCTGTGTCGGATATCGAATTTGAATGTATGAAACCTTTGAGCATCGGATGCAGCTTTCCCGCTTGTAAACAAACTTATCCATGCCAAGGAACACCCGTCTGCGCGCATCGAATAATTTCAAATTCAAACGCGCGCACCGTGTCCTGGCGGCCAACTATAATATTTAATATTATACAATTTTCTCGTTATGATAATCACTTCCGACACGTTAGTTACACGTCAGTTCTCGAATCAGCGAGTGGTAACTGCACGTTCGAGCTATTCTGCTCGAAACGCTAAATTAATCGAGATGAATTTTAAACAGGTGGAGGTTGTGCTTCGAAAGATTTCATCGTGACTCTCGGTGCTCTTCTAACGAAAGACAGACTGACTTCCATTTGTGATTTAGGTGTAAGAATTAGCTACACGAATGAAACATAGACGAAACATGGGCATTTTCTTTCGATAAAAATAGATATTTAAATAAATTAATCGATATCTTTCTTTTCAGTGATAATAAATATATAAATATTTCTAATGTTATGTAATACGTATTGTACATACACAGCAACTATACTATTGACACTTATTTATAAGGTTTCGAATATATTGATAAATATTGGAATAAATAAGATATATGTATACATGCGTATGATAGCTGGTTTTAGTATGCATCGTGTTTTCGATTGCCACGAAATTTAGAAACTGTAAATTAACTATAACGACACAAACAAGCGTAACAAGATCCGAATCTTGTCAGTCTTTTGTAGATAAAATCAAACGGAAATAATGTACAAACAATAGTTACGCGTACGTATCTCTTTGCTCCCTGTTCAACTTCCGCGCGGTTCTTTTGATACAAGCAGGATTTGCAATCCAAATTAACAATGATAATGTCCATGCTTCAACGACAGACTTTAAACAAAAAGTTTAAAGAGTTTTTACAAGATCAAAAAAACGTTAAGAAACATGCCGAACGTCATCACAGATGGAAGTACGGGATAACTATAATTATTTTTATAACGAGGGTCTTTTTTCATACAGTAAATTAAAATTCTAAAGTTATTAATAAAATATTAAAGAACTTATCAGTTCAAATAAATTTTATCAAAAATTCGATATAACATGGGAGAAATCAAAGAGAAGAAGAAAGAACAACCCTCTCATTTACATATATAATCATTGTAGAAGAAATAATTAATCCTAGACTTCCTAAAATACTTTTGTACGAAAAATATACAAATTCGAATGAAATATTTTCCGTACGCTTACAAATTAGTTACCCATATGTCGAAACTATATATTATTGATTTTTCATTAATCAAATGGATATGTACATCTACACAATCATCTAACCGAAATCGCAGTCAATCAGCTCATATTAATTGCCATATAATTAATAATTGTATATAGTTATATAATTAGTTTAGCTATATAATAATGTATAAAAATTATTATATATATATAAAAATTATTAAATTATAAATAAATTAGTAATTACATATCAAATAATACTATCTGTAGCCTAATTAAGTCTAATTTAGTCTACTTTAGTCTAACATCTCCACAAAAAGTGATTTTTATTCATTCATATAAATACATTATTCTATAGAATGTTCTCTTATAATCTGATATTCTCTCTCTATTCATATAAATACAATTCAAAAGAAAAAAATCTTCTGTCGAATCTGTACCTAAAAAACTAACCCAAACCTAAAACACTCAAAACGATTAATAAAATCTGTAAAATATAATTATTACTTGCAAAATATAATTTACTTGCAATGGACCATAAGAAATTTTTTAAAAAGAACGAAAATATTGACACACTTGATGAAAAATTATCAATACTTTAAACTGTGACATGAGAAATTTTATTATATTACGCAGAATAACTACTAGATAATTAATAGAACTATTATTTAGGTTATTAAATATGTACATCCTATCTAAATTATTGTTGATTTACTAGAATGTATTGGAATTAAGAATTACGTAAAAGCATATTATATATATACATACATATAATACAAAATTAGTCATATTACAAGGTCACAATATTTGTATTGGTTAGAATTGAAATCAAATTTTTATATAAAATTATAAATAATTTTAGCATGATATGTTCTGTTTAAATGTTTATGTGCTATTATTTCTTTAATTATTGAAAATTATATGTAAGAATTATTTAGATCTTACACTTTGGTTAAATCTGAGGCCAAAAATGCACATTTTATATTAAAAATTCATAACACAAACACAAATCTAACAACTATTAATTTATATTTTTACCTCAGAACTTCTGGGCGATACTTCTTCTGGGTGATTTTTCTAAATAACACTTTCTTCTTTACAAGTGAATAACACTTTCTTCTTTACAAGCTGTGCTTCATTCCGCCATGCATCCTGCTTAAAAATCGATTATCTAGTCTGTGCGTGAAACAGAATACATTTCCTACGATTCTCGAATGTAATCGATATTTCTTATGATTGATTTTTAAGCGGGAAAAATGGCGGAGACAAGCACATAACCACAAACTGTGGTATCATACACATGAGGATGTGTACGACATTGAGGTTAATTGTGATATTTCAATTTTGTAATATGTGATCGTAACATGAATTCTGAATTTGGTAATTTTCAAGAGACTTATGATTGGATCGAATGCAAATCCATACAATTTCCAGGAAAGGTATATTTTTTCAATCTAAGAACACGTTATAGCACATGGTTTAGACCAGTGCCAAGAGATGTGCAGCTTCAACATTATGACAAAAAACCGGTAAAAAAATTTTTTTCTTAAAAAAGTGTATTAAAGATTATCTGTTAATTATTATCTATGAATGAATTATTTTTATCACTTAAATAAAATCAATTAAACGTAACTGCCATGCTGAAACGTATAGGTTAATTTTGTTTGTAAATGTATTTAATCGCGAATAGTATATTAAGGAATATTAAAACTTTATTTATTTGAACAATTATTGTAAAATAAAGCAAGAATATATTTCTACAGAAAACATACAATAATGATTTCGCGTCTGATGTAGACAATTCAATAATATTGTCGTCAGAAGATGAAAAAAAGAGCGACAATTATATGAATAACAAAAAAGTTGTCAATAAGAAACACGTTATAACAAGGAAAGTCAAGAAAAAAATGTATAAAAAAGGAACTTGCGAGAATTCTAAGATTTTTACACGTTCGCCCTACGAACTTCGCCCTACTACTGCTATAAACTATTCCAATAACAATGAATATTTTGATAATATGAACTGTATTTCCAAAGATCTCCATATAAAAAATAATTATTCAAAGTTACAGGATTTTTGCTTTCGAGAAAAAGGGATTTACAACCATTTCAATAAGTCGATTGTACTAAATTCTCATAAGTCATCTATACTTGAAAATAAAATGATAGTTATAAAAAAAAACGAACAATCTCCGAATAAAAATGATAACTTCATCTCTACTCTAAATGTGCAAAATATAACTTCCAGTTGCCTGCTAAAGGAAAAATCGCAAAAAAATCAAAATGCAAAGAAATGTAAAGAAACGCAACTGAAAGAATCGAAACTGGAATCATCAAAAATTATCGGTGAGATGTATGATAAAGTTAACTATGATTCCGTCAAATTAAAACTTCCGCCTGGAGTAAAAATTACGAAACTTAGCGATAGCAGCACAACTTTGTCATCGTGGCACGACGGTGACAGAAATGTTCAACTTGCTGTTCCGAATAATTTCGAAATTCCTAATGCAAATTTGCACATTAATCTGAGTGAGTCAGATTCAAGTAGTACTTCTTGCAGCTGTAGTACCTGTTCGACGTCATCTGATACAAATAGCACGTCTTCTTCGGATATCTCTGAGAAAAAATAAACATGAAATAAATATAAAAATATGTATTTCTTATATATTATGATTTTTTGATATAAGCATTATTAAAGAATGACGTAGTCTTTCAAAAGAACAGAATAAAATGTTTGTTGTGACTTGTATACGAATTTTATATTTGAACAAATATATAAAATATGTGTCTTAAATTATCGTGGATTATTTCGCTTGAAATATTGAAATTTTATTCATTCTGTTATACTTTACATATAGCTTCATCCTATTTGCAGTTTTCCAATTATTAGATAAATAATAGATAGTACATGGAACTATAAGACGCGTTTGTTGATACATCTTCAAAGAAATACATATAAGTTATATTTTTGTAAAATTTTTAAAAAAGTATTTTTGTAAAATTTTTAAAAAGGCATCTTAAAACAGAGTTTTATCGACATAAGTATGACATCTATTAGATAGCAGAAGAACGAGCTTACATTCTGTTTTTCGATTGCCTTACGGCAGTGATGCTAGCAAAAATCATGGCCGGTTTTCAGCTTGGCATATGGCAGACGTTACCTCGACACAGCCGGTGCAACCGCGACTATTATCCGCGTTGCCGTTGACGAATCACTACGATCAAAGCATAACCATTATAGGTTCAAGCCGGAACTATGATAAAGAATTCTCGTTTCTTTCTTTGAAGAGTAAAGGGTAAACGTCTTCTACCATGATTCAATATTTAGTAGTTTTCATATCTAAAATATTATCTCTTTTAATTATCATTATACCTAAAAAGATTATAAATATTATTATAAGATTTCTATAATTAAGAACCAATATTATTTATGGAATCAAGAGTAAAATAGAATGAAAAAAATTCTTATAAATATATCTGTACAATATTAGGACATAGCAAATTATGCAATATGTTTCATCATGTAAAATTCAGATATGAATGATAGAATATAAATGAGGATCTTACGGTAGTTTGTTTTCCAATATAGTGTATATAGTTAATGTTACGTTATATTATAAATAAAAGATGCAAGATCGATGTTTTAACGTTGAGAAAATAGCAAGGTAAAGAAATACAAGGACGTGGTACCGAGATTATTCGAAGACTACGTCCTCATTATTGGCGACGTAATTTTAGCGTGTAACGACTCGAGGGGTCCCCGGACATGGCTACGTAGATAAAGATCGACGCGCTGGCCGTGAACTTTGCACCGTGAGAAGAGTTTTCTTCGCTTAACAAGTCACACCGAAGTTCCCGCGCTTCCAAACAATGAATCCTTCCACGCGGTGAACAACCGTAGTCATTTCCAGGATTCTTAATAGAATGAGAAGGGAAGTCGGATGGTTTCGCGATCTCTTATTGTACTCTGTACATGGTTTTAAATTTTAATAACTTGAAAACAATAAAACGTAAGACAGATGAAGAAAAGGAAATAAAGAAAGAAAACTTGTATAATAAGTAACTTCTATAAATCGAATAAATATTTTACATGCTATAGGTAAAGTCAAGTTTAGAAAGAGAATTTAACAAAACACTCTACTATACTTTACTATAAATAAAATAGAATACTCATTATAATTCTTAATAGATAAAACAAATTTCTATTTAAATTCTAATTCTTTAAATTATATTCATAAGAATATGTGCAAAAATTTTTAAGTCTAGCATAGATATATCTTATATCTACATATCTAAACTTTCATTAAGTTGTAAAACTTATATTATTAAATACATTAATATTGAATTAATTGTTTAGTTAAAGACACAATTACGCATGAAAAACGTATATTAATTTTCATATTATCTGCAAATATATGCCTAATTTTGTATGCAAGCAAATTTAATATTACTAAAAGCAAAATTAAAATATTTATAATTAATTTCAATTTAATACATATAAACAACTTACATTTTTAATATTCAATTGAAGTAATTATTAATGAAATTGAGTGAAAGTAATGAAGTAGTAAGAAAATTATAGTGCTTTTTTATTTGTATGAAACATCGTGTCCTCGTGTTGTGCTTAACCTCTTTGCTAGTAGTAACTTCACAACAGTCTGTTGTATACTACACGTGATGAAAATCCTAACCTCAATATAAAGAAGTAATCATGGGACGTCGTAAAAAGGTAATTTTTTTATTTCAATTAATAATTTTGGTTAATAGTTTTTTAATATATATGCAAATTAACAAAGTATTCAAATAATACATTATAAATAAATTGTAAATTAAATATTAATAGAATACATATGTTTTTTAATAATGTATAATTTACAGTATGAAATCCAGAAAATAATTCTTTATTTAACTTTTCATAAACATTATATAGGGACGTTGCGTGAAGAAAAATAAACAAATTAATTCTGAAGAAAGTCCAGATGTAATAAAAGCACCTCATTCCTTTGTTATTCATCGTGGACTGCCTGGAGAATATATTGTTGAACTTACTAAAGACTTTCGTAAAATTATGGAACCTTTTACAGCAATGTCTTTAAAAGAAAGGAAAAAAAATACAATTAAAGATTTTGTATCAATAGCTAGTGTATTTCATATTACACACATGTGTATATTTACAAAAACAGAACAAGGAATGTATTTCAAACTGTGCAGGTATCAAACTTGATTATATTGTTTAAATATTAATCCTCATAAATATCATTAAATAATTAAAAAATAAATTTGTAATAGATTACCAAGAGGACCAACACTCACTTTTAAAATACATAGTTTTTCCTTATCACGTGATGTGATATCTTTATTAAAAAAGCAAATGGTATATGAAGAATTATTTAAAAATTCTCCATTAGTAATTCTAAATAATTTCAGTGGAGAAGGTATGCAACTGAAACTTATTGCTTCTATGTTTCAAAATATGTTTCCAACAATAAATTTGACTTCAGTAAGTTTCTTTTTACAGAATAATTCTAGATTATATAGTAGATTATAGTTTTCCATTTATTCAATCATTTTTTAATACTTTTGTAGGTTAATTTAAGTACAATTCGTAGATGTCTAAACTTAAATTACAATTCTATATCAAAAACAATTGATCTCAGGCATTATGCTATTAAAGTAGTACCTGTTGATGTATCGAAAGGCGTTAAGAAATTAATTCAAGCCAAGATTCCAAACTTGTCTAAATGTGAAGATTTCTCTGATTTTTTAACAAAAGGAACAATCTCTGAAAGTGAAGCTGAAGATGATCCTTCAAGTCATGTTACATTACCACAAACATTATCCTCGCGTGGTAATCATGCAAATAGTAAAAGTGCAATCAAGATCTTTGAATTGGGTCCTAGATTAAAAATAGAGGTGAGAAATAATTAATTTTTCTTATATAAATTTTAAGTGTACTATTGGAAATTAACATTTTTCTGTAAAATACTTTTAGTTAATAAAAGTTGAAGATGGAGTTTTGGATGGTGAAGTGCTTTTCCACGAATATATTTACAAATCCGAAGAAGAAAAACAATTAATAAAGAAAAAACGAGAAGCAAAAAAGAAGTTGAAGGAAAAAAGAAAGAAGATACAAGAAGAAAACAAAAAGAAAAAAGAATTACAGAAACAAGAACATAAAGAAAAATCTTTAAAAGGAATGCAAAAGAAAAAAGAAAATGAAATATTATTACAAAAACTTGCAAAAGAATCAGTTATGGAAAATAATATAGAAGATGATGATATACAATATTACCGCGATGAAATTGGAGAAGAGCCTGATAAAGGTAATTTTAGTCTTTCATGCGGTTAAAATGATTCAATTAATTAACTAATTAATTAATTCTTAATTTATATGTTAATTTATTTTTGTTTAATTATTTAGATTTATTTGAAAGAAAAGTTGGTGAGAAAAGGCGTAGGAGTATATCTAAATATGAAGTAAAAAAACAAAAACTTGACAAATCATGATCAATATTGAAAATTAAAACAATTAAGGATAAATATGTAATGTAATGTAATTTTATATGTATGGAACAGAATATTATTTAATAAATTTAATTTTATTATATAATTGTAAAATTATAAAAATATTTAATTTCAGCTTTTAACTATGTCAAAAAATCAGTTATTTCTTAATAAAATGAATTTGAATCACAAATTTAAAAATATATGTCATTTTTAATTAAAAATTGCGATTATTTACAGATTTTATAACAAATATATGAATGTATGGTACAGGAATTATGAAGTTATAATTTTACTGATTGAATAAAATACGCGATCATTGCACAGTAACACATATATAAATTAAATAAAATAGAATTTTATGACTTCTAATTTTTTGCAATATCTAAATGCTTAATAAATCTTATAACTATCCTATTGATTACATTTATCTTGCAGTTCATTCGGTCTCAAAGCAAATGAACTTTGTGCTTCTTCTAATTCTTTTATCCGGTCTTGTAATTCCTTTATTTGCCGAGATCGAGATCGACATAAATCTTTCATTAGCATCTTTTCTTTTTCTAATTTTTGAATTTTCACATGATCCTATATGAACATTACAATCTCATATATAAATGCTGTAAATTCATTAAAAGTTAATATGCATTAATATCTTTACTTACTTCAACAACTCCACTATTAATGCTGCAGAAGCGCACTAAATCATTGGGTACTGTTTGACAACCTTGGTCTCTTCTATTAACACGCCATCGTCTACAGATATCACATTCCCAAGCATTAACATCATTTAAACATTTTTGCAGTTGCCTTACTTCGTTGTTTAATTCTGCATTCTATATATAAAATTAAATATTTATAATAATTATTACAATTTAAAGTTTCCGAGTGTAAGTCGTATCCAATGAAAATTATAACTGACGTTTCAGCATTATAATTGCATTTTGCAAGAGCCTGAAAATATACTATGTAATGCACAGTCATTCATTGGAATAGATATACACTCGAAGGCAATTTTCAATAATATTTATACTATATAATATACCTTATTACGAAACACAAGTACAAGCTCTTCTAATTCTTTACATTTTCTTTGATACGGGAAATTTTCACTTTGAATTTGTACTTCTAATGTTGCAATTTTTCCATTTTTCGATACTAACTGTAATTCTAATTCATGAATCTTCTTTTTCAATTGTTCATATTTATTTTCGTATTCACGAAGGATACTATCAGATGTTGCAGTTCTATCTTTTCTTGTGCTACCTTTAAATACATTTCTTTCATCACGTGTTGATTGCATATCAATTTCTGCATTATATTTATGTATAGTTTCCGCATATTGTTTTAATTCACTATTAAGTTCTTTATTTTTCATTGTTAAGTCTTGTACTTTATTCATATATTCTTTAATTTCTTTATCTTTCTGATTTAACAATAATTTATGAGCTTCTAATTCTTTTATTATCTTATTCCTTTTTTCTTCAAGTTCTGTAACACGATTACTTGATTCTTCTAACTTATTCTTTAAACTCTTATCCAAATTTTCTAATTGATTCGTATGTACTAGCTCAAGTTTAGTATCATCTATTTCTTTTTTATAATGTAGTTTTGCTTGTAATTCTGAATTTTCCTTTTTTAAGATACGAATAATACTTTCATTTTGAAGTTTAACATCGTCCTCTACGTTCATTTGCAATCTCATTTTAAATGCTTCTATCTGATCACGAAGTTCTTCATTTTCTTCCTTAAGATTTTTTAATTTGTCCTCTGTCTCTTTAACAAGCACATTTTCTGATAAATGGGAATACAACTCATCTTCTAATTTTGAAATTTCAGAATCTCGTTGACGAATTGTTTCTGCATATTCTTCTACTTCATTATCCAGTTCCTTATTTTTTTCAATCAATTGTTGTATTTGACTGACGTATTCTTCAACTTCTTTATCCTTTCGATTCAATATTATTTTTTTATCTTCTAACTCTAATGCAATCTTATTTTTTTCTAGAAGAAGTATATCGTATTTTTCTTCGTCCATTAATGAACTTGTTGAATGTTTCGACTTATATAACAAGACAGTTTTCTTCAATTCATCATTTTCTTGCAATAGAAGTTCGTATTTACTTTGTACATCAACCAAGTCTTTTAAAGTCTGATTTCTAATTTCTTGCAATTCTTTTACACGATTGCTTGCACCCTCTAAATTATTTTGCAGTCTTTTATTCGATTCTTTTAAGTCTTCTATTTCTGCTTCTGCTTTAATTTTGCTTGTACTATTTCTAATTCTTCTCTCTAGTCTTACATTTTCTTCTCGAAGGTCTTCATATTTTTCTTTCAAAGTATTTAATTCATCTATTAAAACTACATTTTTATTATTCAATTCATTTAATTGTTTACTTAGGCCAGAATTTTTTATTTCTTCTGAATTTAATTTATCTTTGATAATTTCCAGCTGTTCTTCTCTTTCTCTTTTCAGTACCTCTATCTCTTCTTTACATTGTTCTATAGTTAATTTTTGATTTTTGATGTGTTCCTTTAACATTTCATATTCAGGTGTAATTGTCTCAAGTTTTATTTTATATTCAGATAATATATCGCACTTATTTTTTAAAATAGTCGTAATCTCTTCGATTTGCGAATTCTTTTGCTCAATCTCTTGATTCACTTCATTATAAGCCTGTGTAAATTGTTCAAGTTCTCTAGTTATTTTTTCTATATTTTGACTGTTTCTTTTTATTTCAATCGATTTCGCTTCTACGATATTTTTTAATTGTTTTTCATTTGCTTCAAGCCCCTCAATTGTATTATTTAATTCCAAATTTTTGATTTTATAAGTCTCTATGGTTTGAACTAGATTATTTATTTTCTTCTCATATATTTCTTTTTCCGAATTAAATTTTGACTGTAACTCTATTTCTTTATTTTTAAATATTTCTTGTACTTTTTTTTCTTTTTCTTGAGCTACAAGAATTGCTTCTTCCTGTTGACTGTCAATCTTGCATTGCTTATCAATTTGCAAATTATTAAAATCTGTTTCTAGTGCTACTATTTTTTCTTTAAACATTTCGTTTTCATAAGTAGTTTCTTTTAAAAGATGCTCTAATTGATAAATTTTATTTTGATATTCATTATGGATACGTTCTTTTTCTATTAAGTCTGTTTGAAGTTTTTCAATTTCTATTTCTAGTTCCTTGGCCCATACTACAGTACGTTTCTCTGTATCTATGCACTGTTGTTTCTCCTCCTCTAATTTTTCCTTTTCCTTTTCGTATGTTTCTTTCAGAGTTTTAATTACTTCTCCCTCCTTAAGCACAAGTGTTTGTAGTAAAATTACAAAGATTTCATTTACAGTTTTATTTGAGAACTCTGATAAATTTACATTATATTTAAGTGATCTAAGTTCTTTAATCATACATCTTCTAATTTCGTTTAATTCTTCATTGAGTTTCTCATTATGGTAGACTAATTCTTTTTGTTCATTAATTAAACATTCTTTTTCTGTTACTATTTCATTCAATTTTTCTTTGATATTCCGTAGATTAGTAAGTTCTTGTGTCAAATTCAAATTTTCGTCAATATATTTATTTAATGTATCATTTAATTTTTTAATACTTTTGTCGTGTTCTTCGATATGCTGCTGATATTGTTGGACTACTGAATTAAGTTCATTCTTATATCTAATTTCGGTATTGTTCTTAATTTCAATTACTTCAGCTTCTGCTGTTTGTAATTTTTGTGCGAGTTCATATTTTTCTTGTTCTTTTTCTTGCAGAAGTTTTTTTAGATAAATAGCTTTCTCTTCATATTCCTTGAAGGAACAATCTTCATTTGTTGTATTCTTTTGAAAGCTGTTTATATAAGCTTCCAATTCTTTGATTTTTGATATATTATGTTGTTCTAATTCTTTACTTTGTACATTATCTTTTTCTAATTTATCATATTGTTCCTTTAGATACTGTAACTCTTTTTTTTTGCATTCATTTGAATTAATTAATTCATTTTTCTCGTTTGTAACTAAAATTAATTCATTTTTCAGAGATAAGATATGTTCATTTAATTGATTAATCAAGGAATTTTTATTTTGTTCTTCGTGTTTTAAACTCTCTAATTCTACTTCTAACATTAGTCTTTGTGATTCTAATTCTTTTTCGCGTCTGGAAAATTGATTAAATTCTGCATTTTTATCAGCTAATTCATTTTCAAGAATCTGTATTTTCTTTATTGCAGTGCTTTCATTATTTAATATTGTTTTTTGTAAGTCTTCATTAGAATCTTTTAAGTTATTAATCTGATCTAATAAATTCGTCTTCTCAGTTTTAAATTCATTAAGCATAGCAGTAAAATTCATGCTATTTTTCTTTATCTTATCTATGTCACTTTTTATATGGGCAATATGATTTTGAATTTGTTCTATTCTATTCTCATTTCCATCCAGAATTTTCTTTGATGTAGAAGCGTCTGTATTAGATTCAGTTGTAATCACATCACTTTGGAATTGTTTTAATTCATCACATTTATCTTCGTATAAAATCAAAAATTTATCATGCTCAGTTTTTAAAGTTTGTATCTCATCATTCAAACTCTGAATCCTTTCTTCAATGAAACTTACATTCATTTCATCCACAAAAATAACATTTGACGATACATGTAGGCTTGAATTTAATTCTTCATTTATTTTGTGTTTCATAATTTCAGTGCTCGCACACTTGTCATCGAACTTTCGTTGTAAATCTTCCAGCTTTTGATTCAAATTTTTTGCTTCAAGCTTAAGAATCCTACGACTTTCGTTCAAATTTCTTAAATGCACGCACTGATTGCAAGACGTTAATTTTAAATCACTAAGCTTCTTATTTAAACATGTCAAATAATCGATTTTGTTCTGTAATGCTATCACTTTATTTGCCAGTGTTTGACGAGTTTCTTCTTGTAATACTTCATTTTCAGTTTCATTAACGTCGCTACTATTATTAAATATTTTTGATAAATGTAAAGTATTCTCATTTTCTAAATTTTCTGAAAGAG